TACGCCTTTGAGCTACCTGGCATCCCTAAAGAGGGCCGCTACCTCAAAGTGCTTTACCCTTACTCTAGTACGTGGCTCCCCATTTCCACCCCTTTGCACGTAATGCAGTTACGCCTCTTGAGATATTAACAACGCGCAGACCGCCCACTGAGCGAGGCCAACAGCAGCGGCGAGACGTACTCGCATGTCTTCGGCGCCAACACGGCTCTGTTCGAGCAGTTTGCGCTGTGGAAGAACATTATGGGCCCGTCCTGGCTCAAGATTGAGGACGCCGATTTTACGTCTATCAACAACGCGTCCCACTGCAAGCTCGAGGTCCAGGCTGCGCACCCGAACATGGTGTCCGTTCTGGCCGAAGCTGAAGCGCCCGAGGTGCCGCCGCTGACGCTGATGAGCCTTGCCCTGCGCATGATCTACGACGCCCAGTCGAAGAAGCAGGAGGTCATGGCAATCAGCGCCCGCATCTACGAAAACGTCGCCCTCAGCGACACGACGCCGGCCGACAAGCTGCCGTGCCGCACATTTACAGTGATCCGGCCCCGAGACAAGGCGTTCCCCGTCGGCTTCGACACCCTGGCCAAGTCGCGCGGGCGTGGTGTCATCCGCTTGGCCAACACGGAGGCCGATATTCTCTCGTACTTCCTCGCACAGCTGGCCAACGTCGACCCGGACGTTATTATTGGTCACGAGCTCGAGGGCGTCGACTACAGCGTCCTGATTGACCGCCTGCGCCAGTGCAAGACGCCGCAGTGGTCGCGTCTCGGCCGTCTCCGACGGCAGCAATGGCCAAACCACATCAACCGCGTCGGCGGCAACGTTTTTGCAGAGCGCCAGATCCTCTCGGGCCGTCTTCTGTGCGACCTGAAAAACGACGCTGGCCGCTCGGTCATGCTCAAGTGCCAGTCGTGGACGCTGACGGAGATGTGCAGCCTGTACCTGGGCGGCGAGGAGAACCAGCGACGCGACGTTGACAACGAGGCCGCGCTCAACACGTGGGCCAAGACCCCGAACGGTCTCCTGGACTATGTGGCGCACATTGAAGCCGACACGTACTTTATTGCCGCGCTGGCCCTGCGCGTCCAGATCCTGCCGTTGACCAAGGTCCTGACGAACTTGGCCGGCAACTCGTGGGCGCGCACGCTGACGGGCACACGCGCCGAGCGCAACGAGTACATTCTGCTGCACGAGTTCCATCGCAACAAGTACATCTGCCCTGACAAGCAAGCCTTCCGTGGCCGACAGCGGGAAGAGGACGAGCCCGGCAACGAAGAGGGCGGCGACGGTGGCGCCGGCAGCAAGAAGAAGGACAAGTACAAGGGTGGTCTGGTGTTTGAGCCGGAGCGAGGTCTCTACGACAAGTTTGTGCTTGTCATGGACTTCAACTCGCTGTACCCGTCCATTATCCAGGAGTACAACATTTGTTTTACGACCGTGGAGCGGTCTGCCTTGGTGCGTCAGAACTTGCAAATCCCCCCCAAAAAGACGGGCCAAAATACTAACAACGTTTTGCTTGTAGGCCTCCGAAGGCGAGGAAGAGGCGGTGCCGGAGGTTCCCAAGGAGCAGGACCAGGGTATCCTGCCCAAGCTGATTGCCGGCCTGGTGTCGCGGCGTCGGCAAGTCAAGAGCCTCATGAAGAGCAAGACGGCGACCCCCGAGCAGCTGGCCACATGGGACATCCGGCAGCTGGCGCTCAAGCTGACGGCCAACTCCATGTACGGCTGTCTTGGCTACACCAAGTCGCGTTTCTACGCACGGCCGCTGGCCGTGCTCGTCACGTACAAAGGCCGTGAGATTCTGCGCAGCACCAAGGAGCTTGCCGAGAGCAAAGCGCTGCAGGTCATCTACGGCGACACGGACTCGGTCATGATCAATGCCAACGTGGACAACGTAGAGAGCGCGCTGCGCGTGGGCCAGGAATTCAAGAAGGCCGTCAACGACCGCTACAAGCTGCTGGAGATTGACATTGACAACATCTTCCGGCGGATCCTGCTGCAGGCGAAGAAAAAGTACGCGGCTATCAACCTGATCGAGTCCGGCGGCAAGTATGTCGAGAAGATGGAGGTCAAGGGTCTCGACATGCGGCGGCGCGAGTACTGCGCACTCTCCAAGGAGATGTCGACGCGCATCCTCAACGAGATCCTGTCGGGCAACGAGACCGAGGTGTCGGTGACGCGCGTGCACGAGTACCTGCGCGAGATGGCGGCCAAGATGCGCAGTGGCGATCACACGCCGGCCAACGGCGTGCCGGCCAACAAGTACACCATCTTCACACAGCTCGGAAAAGACCCCACGGACTACCCCAACGCCGACAGCATGCCACAAGTGCAGGTGGCGCTGCGTGAGGCGAGCCGCGGCAAGAAGATGCGCAAGGGCGACGTCGTCAGCTACATCATCGCCACGGGCGAGAAAGCGCCGACGTCGGAACCGGCGCCCAAACGCGCCTACCGCCCCGGCGACCTCCTCAAGAAGGACTCGGGCCTGTCGCCGGACGTCGAGTGGTACATTGCGAAGCAGATCTTCCCGCCCGTCGAGCGTCTGTGTGCCAACGTTGTGGGCACGTCGACGGCGCAGCTGGCCGAGAACCTGGGTCTCGACATGCGGCGCTACGGCAACAACAACGGCCATGCCGGCGGCGGCAACGGCAGCAGCGGTGCCAACGGCACGGGCGAGCTGGAGATCCACCCGCTCGAGACGCAGATCCCCGACGAGATCCGGTTTGGTGACTGCACGCGCCTGCAGCTGCGCTGCCGCAAGTGCAAGACGTCGGGCCTGTTTGAAGGGCTGTCGGCGACGGCAACAGCAACTGCGCCCGTCGAGGGCGAAGAGGCCCCGGCGGCTTTCAAGACGAAGGTCACACCCGCGGGCATTGCTTGTGGAAAGTGCGAGACGACACTGTCGACGCTCTCGGTGGTTGCCCAGATGGAGCACGCCGTGCGTGTCGCCACGACCCGCTACTACGAGGGCTGGCTCGTGTGCGACGACGCTTCGTGCGGCAACCGCACGCGCCAGATGAGTGTCTACGGCGCGCGCTGCCTGGGGCCCAAGGGCCTGGCGCGCGACTGTCTCGGCCGCATGCGCTACGAGGTCCGCGAGCGCGACATTTACAACCAGCTGCTCTACTTTGCCGGCCTCTTTGACGTGGACAAGGCGCGCGACGCCGCCAAGAACGCCGCGGGCGGCGGCAGCAACAAGACCGTCCCGCTGGCGGACCAAGAGCGCATCCTGGCGCTGGCGGAGCACAACCGCGTGCGCTTTGGCACGGTCAAGGCCGTGGTCGAGCGGTACCTGGACAAGTGCGGCCGGCGGTGGGTGGCCATGGACACGCTGTTTGCGAAGCTGGGATTTGCTGCGGGCGCCATGGCCATTGTGAAGCGGGACGTGGTGTAGGGGCAGGCATATGTGTGTGTATGTGTGTTGCACGGGACGTCTTTTCTGTCCGTTTTCATTCCTTCTTGTTTTGCTTATGACTGCAACGGTTTCGTGTACATTTTGGTGCGACGAGTGATTTTGTTTCTGTCTTTGTCTCGTCAGCGGCCTTACTTGCCTGATGCCCATGTTCTTTTGGTTTTATCCTCTTGTTAATGGGCTTCACATAATAAAAGGTACAATACAATATACTGCCATGGCTATACCCTCGTTCCCATCCCACATGAAATTCACTTCCACAGCATTCCTTCTTCATAACGTGTTTGCAACAGTTGTGTATTGTTATCTGGCTGGTCTGGTGAACTGCGAAAAGACAAAGGCGAGAGCATAACAGCGAATTTGAAAACAGAATCGAAGAGGCGGAGCCTGGTTGTACAAGAGAGCAAAATGAAAGAAAAAAAAGAAAGCAATCAACAGACTCCCAATGCATCCGCAAAAAAAAAAGAAAGAAAGAAATAGCTTTTTCAGACATTTTCCTCCCCTCTTGAAGACGCAAGACATCGGAGCAAGGCCACGAAACATGGTCGAGGATCGAACGCTGTGTAGCGAACAGCTTCCGTAATCCCGACGGCACATATGCCTGGCCTTTCTTCCTGACTGTCTGCCGCCTCGTTCGTCTCCATGGCCAGGCAAGGCATCATGAAGACAGTCTCCATCTGTCCCACAGTCAATAAAAGCAAGGAGAAACACGAGCTCAAAAAATCTAAAAAGAAAACCGCGAGGAATACAAAATGGCACAACCTTAGCCTTTTTTTGTCGTATAGTAGTGTTCAGCTTCCGCTGGATACAGAACGGAGCATACATTAGCGGACAGTCCACAGCACAAGGGGCAGGAAACGGACAAATAGCAGTCACCAGACAAAAGCATACAGCCTCACACACACTGCCGTGATAGTGGAACGGGTAAAATAAGATTGCACAGATAAAAACAAGGCTCTTTCGGCGGGAGAAAAATCGGTGGGAGAAATACAAGACAATACAGCAGAAAAATAACCACCAGTGCCTCGGCAACGACTCAAAACAGCGCATGGAGGTGCGGCTACCTTGAGGGCGGTACCAAATGTATGGTAGAAACGAGGAGGAAGCAGAAAAGGAGGTAGAGCGGTAGAGCGACAAGAGCAAAACAACAAAGTGGGCGGTTTTTGAGGCAAAAGGGGAAAAGATGTGTCTATGATCAGAAAGACGGATAAGAAATCTTTGGGAGGTATCATGCAGAAAGGCAACTTTTTGGCACACTTTTTGAGAACCCCGTTGTATGCAGAGCAAACAGAGAAAAGGCAGCAAAAGAAACAAGACATGAGACACAAGGCAGAAACGCAAAGCGGGAAAACACAAAACACAAAACGCAAAACGCAAGCGCAAATGAAGCCCCCGCCGGTCTATGCATCAGAGACGGATGGAATGCAGGATAAAAATGACACCCATGTAGAAAACGGAAAGGAAAGAAAAAAAGCGTATTAAAGAGCGCGTCGAGCAAGTCGAAGCAAAGTCGAAATAGAAGAGGAGCGTATTTTGGTCGGCTTTGACTTGTCCGCCGACGGTCGTCAAGCCAGTCTCAACAAAAGCGCCTACCCTACTTGCTGACCTTGTCGAGGCTGGACTTGGTCAGGGCAGGGGACGCCGCAGTCGAGGGAGGCGACGCCGGGCTTTCCGTGTCTACATTGGCGAGGGCTCTGCGAAGACGGTTAGTATCTGTATCTGTATCTGTGTCTGTTTACGCAGCCACAAAAGGCACAGCAAAGGGAGAGAGGGAGTGGAGAAAGAGCTTACTCAAAAGCGTTCGAGTGCGAGACAGTGTTGGAGTCCTGGCGCGTCGGGGGCGTGCTGGTGCGGGAGGCCGGGCCAGAGTCGTCGCCAGGACGCCCGAACGAACCACCAGGGACGTTCCGCCGGCCGCTGTTGCTACGGGACGCAAACATGGACGTAGGGCCCAGCGTGGTCACGCTCGAGCTGGCGATGCGGCTCGCCGAGCCCTTGAGACGCCGCAGGTCGTCCATGCCCACCTGGTTGGGGATGGGCTGGTTGTACGAGAAGTTGCGCGAGTCGCCCCGGCCCAGGCCAGGACGGCCACCGGCGCCGCGCTGGCTCGTGCTGCGCGCGGCCTCGAGGGCCTTGGCGGCGGCGTCCGCCTCGGCGTCCTGGCGCACCTCCTCGAGCGTCTTGGGGCCCTTGTTGGCCTCGGTCGACACCCAGTTGCGGTTGCGCAGGTCGACCACGTCCATCAGCATGAACTTGAGACGGCTCGGCAGGTCGGGGATGTCAATGACATTCTTGATCCTAACAAAGTACGCGTCCATCATCGGGCGGCCCTTGTCCGTGCCGTCGAGGTTGGCACCGACCGTGCGCAGCAGCTTCGACAGCGACTCGATCTCCGCCTCGTCCGGTGTCGTCTCGTAGTCCACCAGCTTGCGGACACATTCGTGCATAATCCGCTCCGTCAACATGCCCAGCTTGTACAGCTCGCCAATGAACTGCACCAGACCCAAACCGCGACGCTTGGCAGCGGCCGCCTCGTAGTACTCGTCCGACAGCATGGCCGTCTCCTTGGACTCGCCCTCCTTGGGCTGCGGCAGATCCACCTTCCAGCCACGCTCAAACTCCTGCTGGCACCGGTTCAGCAAGTACTTGCGGAAAAGCGTGCCGCCGCTGATAACGTCGCCCTTCTTGTCCTTGATCGTCACATCCCGGATCTCGGGGCTCATGCGGTCCAGCATGCACTTGCAGAAACGCGCGTACATGGGCGCCCAGTGCGCCTCGTCCGTCGCCTTCTCAAACGTCAGCTGGATGACCTGCCGCAGCGTGCGGCCGTCCTCCTCGTCCTTGGACTGCAGAGCAATCGTCAGGATCTGGTCCGAGATCTTGTCAAACTTCTCGGGCGTCATCTTGTTCAGCGCAGCCTTGACCTTGCGCTGCACCATGTCGGGGTCCATGGTGGTCGGGGTCGCACCAGGCGCAGAGGCGCCGGCGCCGGCCGCGCCAGGGGCCCGGTTGGCGATGCTTGTGGGCTTCCAGCCGGAGGCTGAAATCGAGATAGGCTTCAGCTCCATGCCTTGAGTCAGAGGCATGGTCTTAGCAGCCTGGGCCTCAGCCTTTGCATTGTGGCCGGCCTGGCGGCTGTTGCCGCGCGTGGACCGGCTGCCCTGGCGCGGCGAGTTGGGCATGCCACCGCCAATGGACGACGAGGGTGTGCGGGTCATGTTGCTGGGACCCGGGAAACCACCGGGGCGGCCAAACGAGGACATGGCGCCCACGGGGCGCGGCATGGAGCCGCTGGCCATGGCGAACCGCTGCTCCGAGGTCGTGCCAGGCGGCAGAGGCTTGGAATTGAACGATCCCATGGCGCCCGTCGAGGTGAACGCGGCAGCGGCATTGGTGCGCGAGTTCTGGCGGCCTGCGTTGCTGCCGGCCGGCGTGCGCGTGCCCGAGCGCGACGCGCCCTCGCCGTCGCCAATCAGCTGCTTGACCTGCTGGTCAAAGTCCAGAGACGGCTTCTCAACAAAGACGTCCTTGAACTGCAGCAGGAAGCCCATGTCATACTTGAAGTTGCCCTTCTTGTTGACGGCCGGGTTCAGCGCCGGGTTGGGAGACTGGATGCCCTTGGGGTACATGATGGCCGTGGGGTCGCGCAGGAAGCGAGCCGTCTTCAGCGACTGCAGCGCTGCGCTCGGCTGGGGCGGCTCCACCGACTTGGTGTTGATGGGGGCCAGGTTCAGAGCCGACGGCTTGGCGCGCTTGCCGGCAGACGTCTCCGACGACGGCGACAGAGCGGGGCCAGTACGGTCGGTGATCTTGAGGTCGCCCAGCTTGCTAGTCAGGGCATCCGTCGACGAAGCAGCGGCGGACTCCTTGCGGTCACTCAGGGTGATGTCAGAGATCTTCTCGGCCAAAACCTCAGCCACAGACTTGACCTTGCCACCCGAAGCAGCAGCGGCCTCGTTCTGTTTCCGCTGGCGCTCACGCTCCTCCTCGAGGCGCTCCATCTCGCGCTCCTGCTCGCGCAGCTTCTCGTCGTTGGCCGCAGCGTTTGCAGCACGGTCCGCATCCAACTTCCTCTTCTCCTCGGCGGCGCGCTCCTTCTTCTTGATCTCGTAAGCAGCAGCTTCGGCCTCACGCTTAGCCTCGGCCTCCTCCATCTCACGGATCATCCGCTCCATCTCGTCCTCTTCGTCCTCAGCAGGGGTGGCGGGTGCAGCATCAGCCTTGGCGGGCTCTGTAGCGGGCTCCTTGGTGGGCTCCTTGACCTCGGCAGTCTTGGCGGCCTCGGCGGCCTTCTCGACAGGTGCGGTCGTGGTCTTCTCCTCCGCCTTGGCAGGGGCAGGAGTAGAAACAACAGCAGGGGTCGACGAGACAATGACAGGCTCGGACTTCTTCTCCTCAGCCTTGGCAGGCTCGGCAGCCTTAGCCTTGCTGTCCGCCTCGGTCGGAGTGCCGGCCGTCTTACGGACCTGCTCCTTGAACTCGTTGCGGAGCTGCTCGGCTGACTTGCCAACCGAGGCGCTCTCGGTTCTCGTGTGCGTAGCAGCAGGTGTGGCAGGTTTGGACTGCGGTGGCGGCGTGGCAGACACGGGCACAGGGGGCGTGCGCGACACAGCCGGGGTGTTGGGGCCGGGCGAAGCTGGGGCCATCTTGTTGAAGTCGAGGGTCTCGCCCTGGGGATTCTTGATGACAATGGCGTTCTTCTTGGGCTTCACAAACTGAGCACCGGCAGCGCCAGCCGGGGTCTTTTGGGCACTGCCAGGGGCGCCGGGAACAGCCAGCGCGGCATGCGTGGAGACAGGGGTCTGAACCTGGCCTGTGCTCGAGTTGGGGCGCTCCGAGGCAGCCTGGGACGAGGTACGCGACATAGACGGGGCGCCACCAGGCACGTTAAACTGCTGCTGGCCTCCCATATACGGCATGTTGTACGCGTTGCCCGGTTGCTGGTTAAAGTTGCCTACGTAGGGGTTTACCTGGGCATACCCTGGGTAGCCCATATACGGCGAGCCGTTGGGGCCATGCTGCTGTTGGTGCAGGTGCGGCTGTTGATGCGGACCAGGTTGCTGGTACGGCGGGTAGTTCTGTTGCTTTGTAGTTAGCAGGCGTTCATAGTTGCCACTGGCAGGCGACAAGTCGTTCACAATGGGGCGTCTGATGCCGTTGACGCTGTTGAGGCTGTTGAAGCTCTTGTCGCCGCCGCTGCTGTTATTGATGGCGGCGGCGGCAGCGGCGGCAAGATGGCGCCGAGGAGGCGGTAAATGCGGGGGCACTGGTCCCTGCTGCTCAGTCACTATTGCGGGATGCAAAGCGCTCACAAAGGGAGCCGCGGCGAACCGGTACGAGTACTTGGGTTCCATGGGCGGCTCCTTCGGCTGCTCCGCGTCCGGCCAACGCTTGCTGTAGCGACGAGGTTTGCCTTTCTTAAATTCCTGTTGTTGCTGCTGTTGCTCATGCTCTTTCTTGTGAGGTTGCTGCTGCTGTTGCTGCTGCTGCTGCTGATGCTGACGCTGTTGAAGCGACAGCGGCGGCTGCTGCGGCGGCTGCTGTTGCTGTTGCTTTTGCGAGTCTGAACACTTGGACGCAGAATCAAAGGCGCGGGGTTGGTAGGAGAAGTGTCTGTCACCTCCACCACCATTATGTCTGTCACCACGTCTGTCGCCCCCTCCAAATCCACCTCTTTCACTTCCAAATCCTCCACCGCGCGCGCCTTTCTTTCTGTAGACTCCACCTCTGTATGTCGGCTGGTTCTGGCCTTGCTGATCACTGCCTTCTTGCTGGCTGGATTTAAAATGATGGGGAAAGGGGACGGTATTTACGTTGGAGTGGGGCGGGAAACCCGTAGTGTTAGCGTATTGCATCTGCATGTAGGGCGAGCCACCGGGAACGGGGATGGCGTTCTGCATCTGGGGAGTGCCGTTGTTGGGCACGGCCGGGGGGATAGCGGGGCTGACGCGAGCGGCTGCGGTCTGGGGCGAGTTGGGGCCAAAGTTGGGGTGCATGCCGCCACGTGGTTGGAACTGGGGCGCCATACCGCCACGGCCACCGCCGGAGGGACCACGAGGATAGGGGCCCGCGCCGGGCTGGAAGGGCATGGCCTGGTTGTTGTAGTGGGTGCTGCCGTTGTAGCCACGGCCGCCACGGCCACCACCGGGCTGGAAACCGCCGCGGTTGGTGCCGGGACCACCATGGTGACCGTGGTTGTTGTGGTTACCATGGGCCGGGTGGTTGCCGGCGTGGTTGCCCATATCGCTCTGGACCGAGTGTGTCGAGCCGCGGCGGTAGTGCGCGGAAGGGCTGCCCACTGGCAGGTTGCTACCGGGGACGTTCGAAAAGTTGCCGTGTTTCAAATGGCGCTGAGTTTAAAAAAAAAAGTCAGTCTGCGTGGTCAAAAGTCATAATGCCCCCAGCCATCACAAAACGAGGGCAGAATCTACATACGTCGCCGTCACCGCCAAAGCTTCCAAACTTCATGCTAGCACCATCTTGAGAGATGACTGATGGGGGTCTGCCACCACTGGCAGAAGGCTGGGGGATAGGAATGGGCGACTGGGCCGGGGAGGGTATCTGCTGGTTGCTGCCGGCAATGGGCTGCGAGGGCGTGGAGTGCGCAATGGCAGGCGACTCGTCGTAGCCAAACTTGGGGATAGGTGCCTTGGCGCCGGCACCGGACGAGCCGCCGTTAGCAATGAAGCTGCTTGGGCCGGTAGCACTGATGGTGACAGAGCTCTTGCGAGCGTGTTCGGCGGCAGAGCTGCCGTTCAGAACGGCGGGGACGGCCGGGGTGATCGGCTTGCCGTTGTTGCTGCTGCTGCTGCCGTTGGCAGTGGCAGGTGCGCCCTGGGAAGGCGCGGCGTTTCCGCTCATGTTTGCGTTAGTTGCAGTGGGTGTGTTGCTGCTGCCGGCGCTACCATTTAGTGGCGACACGGAAGCAGGACGAGCATTGCTGGTGCTCGCGTTCGTGGGAAGAGAAGAGGAGCCGACTACGACGGGGGAAGAAGAGCCCGTCGCAATCACCGGCGTCGCAGCGGCCTTGCCAGAAGCACCAGCTGCAGAAGCGTAGGATGCCGAGGAAGACGTCGCGTTGGAGTTCGCCGAAACGTTCTGCGTGGTAGCAGGGGAAGTCATAAGGAGAAAGAAACGACTTGGGGGGAACAAGACGAGAAGGCGGTTTCGAGAGCGAGAGCGAAAGAGACAGACACAAAGAACCAAGAAGAAGCAGAAATAGGAAGAACAAGCAATCAAGCGTCTTCCAGTACCTGTTCAGCTATTGTTTGTGATGGAAGCCGATCGTGCGATGAAGGAGCCGAGTCGTTCACGTCGAGCGAGCGCGAGAGGATGGGCTTCTCGTTGCTTTTCGCGGTGTCTCGACCGTCGAGGGAATGGATGTCGAGAGTGACGGAAAATTAAGTTCGCGGTTGGGGCGCAGAGAATGAACGAAAGTCGCGGCGACGAAAAAAAAGGTCGGTGGCGAGGAACGGGGCGTCGGTTCGCTGTTCTGTCTTCCTGTCGAAAGGAAACGAGAAACAAGACGAGACGAGGACGTCGCGCTGGTCGATGACGAAAACTAGAAAAGAAGATTTGCGCCTCCACGCAAATTCAAGAATCCCAAAATAGGCCTCTTTGTTTTTTTTTGCTGGATTTCCGTTGCCCCCGTACACAAACGGACGCAAGAGAAACGCAAAAAAAGGGTAAGAGGTGAAAATGAGGGACTGGGGGAAAGAAAAGAAAATACCACAGATGCGCGAAGCTGCGTTCTGTGATAATGTTTCTTCTCGGGGGGGAGGGAATAAAGTTGTGATGGATTCACTTGAGGTCGTGAAAGGGGGAAGAAAAAACGAAGAAGGGGCGAAGGCACGAGAAGGAGAAAAGGGAAGGGACAAATTTTTTTTGGAGGAAGGCGGGAGGCGAGTGGCCCGTTCTCCACCCAAAAAATCGCTGGACGGGGAGGGAGAAGGTGCGAGTCCAGGTGGTGGGCGAGTGGTAATAGTGCTGGGTCGCGCCAGCGCGCAAACACAGCAGACCTGGCAGGGCGTCCAATTTTTTATTTTTTATTTTTTAAATTCTTGGGGGATTATTTAGGTATTTTTTAGGCCCCTTCCCCCCATGCCCAATTTTTTGTCCCTCGCGCACATGGGGGCACGGGCCATGCAAATCCTCGTGTACATGAAGCGATTAGGTTCGCCCAAGAAAGGAAGGACGGACGCGAACGGACATAACAAGTCACTCCACCCGCACATTAGTAGGAAGGAGATACCGAGTGCGGCCCTGGCTCCCTTATTCGCAAATGCTATTTTCGAGCGCTGTAATACGTCCAATTATTACTGTGCTACGCAGTAGCCTCCAGCGGATACAAGCATATCAGAGAATCTCGTACATTTTGTGTAGTTTGTCAATTCAAGCAGCCATTCTCAGTAGCAGCATATACTGCTCTCACTGACTGCTTCGATCATTCACTTTCTTCGTCAGGGCCGCAGTGCAGCACAGCATCGCTCTTCAGCCTACGATGTGTCTTCAGCTGCAGCCTCGGCCTCCGCCGTGCTCTGTAAGTTGCATATGTGAGAAATGCGACGAGGCGCAAACGAAGGTGGAAAAAACAAAGTGAATGGCCCTTTTGTGACGCGACTACAATTTAACGCTGTACGAAGTATGTCATAGAGGGAACAGCTGTCTCGGGGCGGACCAGTCAGCCAGAGCTCAGAGAGGTGGTAATCGGTTTGTGCGATTTGCAACCCGCGCTAGTCAAGAGCTTTCTTGTAAGAGAAGAACAGCCACAGACCAAGCCAGAGGACTAGAGGACTGGCAGATACGAGTCTCAATGGAGATTGGAGATTGGGAGGTTCAAGTCCGCGTTTGTAGGCAACAGCACACGCACAAGCTCCTGTGTCTGCGTCATAGCCATGAATGACCAAGATAAAACGCGGCACACTGCATCGATGTTCACCACCGACCAACCCGACAGGTTGACAGCGAACGACGTACATACGTTCGACTTACACAATGTGTCCATCCCGTTACTCTGGACGAGACCATGACTAACTCTGACGTGATGCAGCCAACATCTAGCGTGCGCAGGCCATGTTTGCATGATGCATGTCCGCTGTGGAGGAGTGACGCTGGTCTTGACAAGGCAGACGCTGCACGACAGAGGTGGAGTTACCATGACGCTGGAGAGGAGACAAGAAGCGGCGGAAAGCAAACTGTATGGATTAGAAATGGGAGAAATGGGACGATCCCGGTTTACAAGGGACAGATACAGAGGAATGCAGCATGCACTTAAGCGTGCAGTAGCGGTGCATTCCGAAGGACGACCGAAGAGGCAACTGCCCAGCGGCCGCAGACGCAAGAGAAGGATCAATGGAAGAAGAGAAGAACAAAAGCAGGGAAAGAGCGACGAGCAAGGCGAAAATGGCAGTGGGTGCATAGGAGGAAAGTGTGGAAACGAGCAGGGAACAGAAAGGGCCAGGTTGCTAGGCGGACAGGGGCCAACCGCGTTTTGGGTTTGGGCTGCCGGACGAGGCGCGTCGAGATGCCTTGGGGGCGGGCCCCTGCGCTGTAACTGTGCAGGCCTGTCAGTGCGCCGGGTGAAGAAAGTGCGACGGGTGGGACGAAAACGCGACACGAAATGGAAAGAGCGGTTCCGTCTGCGATATGTCGATTTTTTTTCCCCCCCGCAAAAACCCAGTCTGCACAACGAGTGTACGGAGTACTCTCGCGTCCTCTTACGACTCCATCTTAAAATGGACAGACCGAGTTGAGAGGCGACATATGGCTCGTCGTTTGGGTATCAAAATGTCAAGGCCTCGTCTTTTCTCGGTGTCTCGTGTCTGGGGATACTGGCGCCTGTTTGTGGCGCGTGTGCCTTCCGGGCGTTGCTAATATGCCCACATTTAGGCCACTTTAACCGAGTGCTGAACCTTGCAGGGGACTCTTCCAGGGCAGTTTAGGCCACTTTTATGACCTGTCGCACCACTTTTAATTACAGCGCGCTGGGCAACAATTCGGCTTCTTTTCTATTCTTTTTTTTTTTGTGTGTATGAATTAATTCCACCATGCGCCGCTCAAACAACGGGTTGTTCGTCCCATGTCTGCCTTTGTTTCGGTGACGGATGAGCCTGTTCAGTGGACAACAGGAGATTTAAAAGAGTAAAAATAGCCGTGTTACCGAGTTTCTTTTTATCTTCGTTTTATGTATTTCATTTTATTTTATTTTATTCTTTTCTCTTTCAATTCCTTCATCCTCGTTTATTTGGGGTCCCCATCTCGCCCCTTGAAACGGCTGCCAGTGCCTTGTACCTTCTGCAGGACATTGCATCTGTCGGGACAGACCAGCGCAGATTCGACCATCTCCTACTGTCTCACCCCGTCTTGATATGTGTTGACATGTCTTGATTTCATGGCTCGATGTTGTTCGTCTGATATTGCGTGTTTTACCCTGGGTATGATCATGGGTGGCAGTCTCCCTCGGTTCGGTCGCCGGTGCGTTCCTGACTTGCAGTGCATGCATCGCATCTGTGCATCCTGGACTTGGGCGCAGGGATGGTCTACAAATTGGTACTGGTCTTTTTTTCAATTTTTTTTTTCATCCTTCTTTTTGGCGTCGCGTTCCTTGTTTGCTTTCTGGTTCATCTCTTTCGTCTCCCTTGCCAGCCACCTGTCAAATGGCAGAGTTACAACGTAAATAACAAAGGTACTCCGTACGTCTCTGTTTTAAATGCAATATCACTCCGGCTATACTCTGCCATGTTGTGTTTGGCTGGGGTCGATCCGGGGAACCAGACACAGCTGGCTGTCGACTCTCTCAACGGAGCGGCTGATTCAATAATTATTCAATACGGAGTACCAGGACATTGTCCCGTCGATGCAATAGATCCATAATCTCCAGCCACCTTTAGATTTTTGTCTCTCTTGTTTTGTAATGTTCTCTCATTCTCTAGCCGGTGCTTCATCCCACATACACACGTAGTCTTCCGCTTTCCTTCTCGCCGGGTTTCTTCCCTTTTTTAATTACGACAACACCTCTGTTTGTTTGCAGGAATAAATTGACTGTGTGGTGTGGGCAGAAAAGCGGGTAGAAGAGCCGGGCCTGTGTAAACAAGACAAAAAAAAAGATAATCGTATTGCTGTAGAGCCGGCATGACTCTTCGTCCTCTTTCTGTATGCTGTGTGCAATTCTTGCCGTATTACTCCGTATCGAGACGTTCAATGTCATTTGCTGCCTAAGCAATGGTATTTTCGCAACTGTTGGTTCGTTTGGTAGCATTCATTTTTCTCATTTTCCTTTTCCGGCCCTTTTACTGTATTTATTGTAACCCTGTTGGTTTGCCAAATCGCCACAGAAGAACGAAAACAGCGTACTTGCTATCGCTTGCTATTGTAACACTTCGGAAAAAAATGGTAGGTATAGCAACAAAGTGTGTGGCTCGTTGGTGGCTGCATCGTCTTCAGCTTCTCGTTCTTCTGGTATTATTTTTTGTTCCTTTCTGCAGAGGGTTTTTTATAGCAAAAGTTTGTGCGCAGCACAACATTGCCCCTATGGGCGTCCTCTGTCATGTTTGCTTTTGCTAGGGCGAATATGCAAGCGGCCTGCAGACACTTCCCCCGTCGTATTAAATCGGTGACGCATTTCGTGAATGCTGCATTCTGCAGTCAAGCGGCTGCCGAGGTGAATTACTCTATTCGGAACCTCTCCGAGTACGCAGCTCACGAGTGAGAGACGTAAAGAAATAAAGACAAATTTTGTCAAAACAAAAAAAAGGAAAAAAAAAATGACCATAATGTTGGACAGTAAATTAGTTCTGCTCGCCTCGCTCACTCTGTTTCTATATACGACAACTCCCAACTCCTCCATCCCCCCGGGGCCCCCCCTCAGTTCTTGTCATGTCCATGCGCTGGATCCGGCCCGTCGTCATCGCCGGCTTCTTCACCGCGGGGATCGTCGTCGTCGTCGTCGTCTCTACCGGGCAGCGCCACAATATCCTCGCCGTCGTCCTCCCGGGCTGGCGCTGGCAGCACGTCAAGTCCTTCAGGGTCCTGGCCGTGCGCATCGCCGTCTGTAGAATTTGCCGCCGCCGTCTTTGCTGCTTCCGCCTGCATCTGCTGCAACCTCGTCTGGGTCATCTCAAAGACGTACTGCCCTAGGTGCTCTAGTCCTTCCATGGTGACCTCGTTGGCCAGCGTACCGCCGGCAGCTGCTTTGTTCTCGTCGGCAATGACGCGCTTCGACGGCCAAAGCTCGCCCGTGACAAGCGCAAGCTTGTCGGGTCGCTGCAGCAGGATCTGGAACGCCTCGCGCAATTCGGGGCAGGTCTCAAAGACCTCGCGGCGGCCGAGAATGTACAGACCCAGGCGCGCACGCGACAGCGCCACAGACAGGCGGCGGATGTCGCGCAGGTAGCCCACGCGGGATGTACGGGTGAGGGACAAGATGATGTCTGAAATGTTAGTAGTGATCGGGCTAAAACATAAAATAAAATACACAGGTAAATAAAAGGGCACCGCAGGGCCCTGGAGTGAGCCTGGCGTTACGTACAATCGTTCTGCTCGCCTTGGTAGCGGTCGACCGTAGTCAGAATCTTGGGCAGGCCGAAAATGGGGCTCTTGCGGCACCGGAACTCGAGCACGTCGCGAATCAGCGCCCGCTGGCCGGCATACGTCGTCAAAATCGTGATCTTGCTGGCCGGGTAGCCCAGCAGTCGCATGTACTGGAACAGCGCCACCGCGTACTCGGCCTCGCCCAGATTCTGGATAAAGTGCGGCGACGGCTCCGACTCGCCGCGCCCGCGGTAGTCGGGCACGTTGATAAACTGGTAGTCGTAGCGGAAGCCCGCGTTGGCCGTTAAAAAGGCTGGTTCCGTCTGCACGTGCGGCAGGTCCACGAGCCCCGGGTAGCGCCACCGGTACAGGTCGGCAATCGACGGGCGCGCGCGGCCCTGCTGGTCCAGGTTAATTGTGGGCACGCCGAGGCGCACGAGCCGCGAGAACAGCGACTGCTCGAGGTTAGCATAGTGCCGGAAGGCCAGGTTCTGCACGATGGGCGAGTTCTGGAGATGGTCGCCGCACAGCACCACGCGCTGCAGCGGCACTTCGCCGGACGTCGCATTGACCTTTTGCAGCGCCAAGGGGATAAAGTCCTCAATTTCTGTGATCTGCGCCGCCTCCTCCACCACGACGTTGTCGTAATGGAACCCGAGTGCCGCAATCTCCCCACGCCGCATCGCCGCGTGCGTCGACGTCATCGCCACAATGCGCGCTTCCTTGGTGAGAAGGTAGTTGGCCTTATCACGGTCGCGTCGCAAAATCTCAAACGGCTGCACGTCCGCCAGCTCCGTAAATACCTTGGAAATGTGCCGATAGCAGCCGTTGGCGATGTCCAGTACGGCATCGCGGTCGGCGTCCTCGGGGAACAGCGGTTGCGGCGCATCCGCAAAGTAGTTGTGGAACGGGAATGCCTGCACAATGTCGGCCGCCGACGCGCCGTCTGTGTGCACGGCCACGTCGTTGAATTTGGACCATGCCGGCTCAATGTACACCGCGTTGAAGTAGCCAGCCGTCTCGGCCGAGTTGCCATGCGCGCCCGGCGCACCAATGCTTGCCGCCAGCCGCGTCACTTCCTGTAAGTACTGGTTGCGGTTCTCCAAAAACATCTCGACACGGCCGTACTTGCTGAAGCTGGCGCCCTCAATGCTTAGCTCCTCTTCACCGTGACCAAGCCGTAGCAGGTGCCGCTGGTCAATGTCGAGGGCCGCGATTTTGGCAAACAGCTGGTTCAGTGCCTGATTGCTGTGTGCAACCAGCAGTGTGCGCTGCTCGGGGAAGTTGTGGTAGAGGGTGTTGATGATCTGCGTGGCCACATCTGTCTTGCCCGTGCCAGGCGGACCGACAATCACTGTCAGCCCGGGCTGCACGCCCGACATGATGGCCTCGGTCTGTGCTGGCGTGAACCGCACCGAGTTGAGCTTGGGCGCATCGACGGGGTACGGCCCATTGTTGGGCGGCGTGTACGTTGACACCTTGAGCATTTCCACGTCAGCAATCAACGCTGGTTCGGCGTCGCGCCGCCGCTTCTTGGACGGGGGTTTGGCGGGCGCCAGCACCTCGGCGGCTGGTGGCTTGTCGGCCAGGCCCAGCACGTACGGCGGGCCAAAACTGCCAGTCACATCGTCGCTCGGCTCGACTGTCTTGCCCGGCAAGCTTTCAATCAGGTGATGCCAGTTGAGGAACGTGTCGCGGAAGTCGACCTTCTTGATCCGGTTTGGCAGGTGCTTGTAGGTTGCGGCAGCCGGGTCGCCGTAGCCCAGGAACACCTCGTGCAGCCAGGGCGCCAGTGGCACGTCGGACAGCACGAGACTGCGGATCGAGTCGAGCACGGGCTTGAAGTTGTTCTCGCGCCCGTGCCTCCGGATAATCAGGTTGAAGCTGTCATACACATCGGGTGCGCCGTCCGACGACTGGCTCGTGTCCTCTACAAACGAAGCGGCGTCGAGGCGCACCTGCAGCTTCCTGACGAAACTGCGATGCCCATATCCAGCACGACCGCCGCCGCCTCCACTCCCGCCGCGCCCGCCTCGTCCGCGGCGCTGGAAGCCCTGGCCACGGGTGTTTTCAGACTCCATCGGATACATGACCTCGGCTGTGCGAATGGACGTGATTCCGAGTTGTTGCGCAGTCAGTGCAGCGCCGTTACGATTGTTAGTCATAGCCGCATTCCTAGCCTGGTTGGTGTTTACGGCGATCAAGAAGACAGTGTCGTCCGGCC